TTAATAATAAATTTATGTTAAATTAATATTTTCTTTTTTATCTAATATATAATATTCATTATTAATTTTAAAAAATCTTACACATAGGTCTAGTGATCTTAGTATAGTGGTTAGGTTGCCAGACTGCCATGCAAGAGATCTAGGGTTCAAATCTCACTGTCGACGAATTTGAATAATTACCTAGACCTTTGTATCTAACTTACGATAAACCCTGTCTGTTTCTGGAGTTGTAACCCTGTAAATCACATTGCACCAATATCATTCGGATATTGGAAGTGTGATGGAATGTTCAGAGAGTATAATGTTACATGAATAAATCTTGATAGGATCTATGGGCAGAGGACCTGCATGGTAGAAATCCTGAGTTGGTGAAGTAATACGGCTTTTGACGATCACACCAGCTAACACTTGATCCAGAAAAGAAACTATCATTAAAAGATGCTGATCGAGTCGGGTATGCATAAATCCATTCTACAAGGAGGATCGGTAATACCAACCTGGCTTGGCAGCTAACTGAATTAGGAGGATCTACCTTATGAAACATCCGAGAAGATAGACACAGAAATCTAGTGGAGAGCTACAGTAGGAACTAGAGTTATATGAACATCTGCAAGGATCTAATCTAGGTGAATTCGTGAAATGAGTATAGACTGTTCTAGTAGGATTGCTTACGAGATTAACTGGAGCTTTGCATGCCACAATATATTGAGCAATATGCATCCCGAGAGAACCTAAGCTGAGTTAGGTAAATAGATCTGCAACGAGCTAGCTGGCTTAAGCGGTTAGGTGTTATAGTGATATTAGTTGATTCCGGTATTAGTTAGGTGAACAGAGTATTTAAATAGGTAACTCACAAGTGGGTTACAGGTATGGCAGCTTGTATAGAACCAAACAGGTGATCTACCTGTATAGTAGACTACTTAAATTAGACAATAACTAAAGTTATACGTATAGCAGATTGTACACTCTTTATGTAATTACAAACTGTAGAGGATTGTTAACAGACAATCTCATATATTAAACTAATAAAATCTGCTCGGCAAAGTAAGCTGCCTTAATTTAAAAAAAAAAAAAAAACTAATTTATATATTTATATATTACATTAATAGATTATTTATAAATACATAATAAAATATTGTTTTATAATAATATTAAATTATTATCTTTATATTCAGAAAAAAGTTTACTATATAAGAAACCTACAAATCTTTTCTCAATTAATGTGTATGATTTTAAGAAGAGAATATATGTTTAATTAAGAACTTTTCATATAATATTCTTACTGTTTCACTAGTAAAATTTCTTCTATTATTTGAAAGTATCATTTTAGGTACTCTATATCTACAAACTATTTCTTCGAATATAAATTTTGCTAATATTTTAGTATTTGCATCCAGTATTACTTTTGCTTCTAGTCATCTAATTAAATAGTCAGTGAACACTATAATATAGTAGTTGTTCTGTTTCATTATTAGAAGAGATTCTACTAAATCAATTCCTATGTGTTTAAAGATATGTCTAACTTGGATAGGATCAAGTGATTTTTTTTTTTTTATTATCATATGCGTAGATATTTGAATTTACTGTTTATTTTGATGCACCCTAAAATTTTAGTTATACAATATGCAGATGCGTCAGCTAGTTGATAACCAATAAAATATAGAATAAAATTTATATACCAGGCAAACTCGATAAGCCAAAAACTGTAAGAGAGATCTAAATATTCAGCTTACAGTATTAAATTTTTATATTATTAAATTTCACGTTAAGCCGAGTTTTATATATAGTAATTAATAGATTATAATTTGAAAATTTTTAGCTTTTATGTATTTTCGGCTTAGGAAACTTTAGCTTATCGAGTTTGCCTTGTATATTACCAACTATAGCAGTCAATTAAAGCTATGTATGTTAAGCATCCCTAACTATAGATATAGGATTAGGATATTTCAAAAATAATTAGCTAGAATTTACATTATAACGATACAGTAAGTATTATTTAAAATACTGTATTAGTTTGTCTCAAACTAGTTTGGCCAGTTTGAAATTAGGCAAATGCTGAAACTATCAGGTTTGGTTTACATCTCTATTACCAACACTAAAATCATACTTCAAAGGTGATGATATTGTTAAATATCTTTTTTTTTAGCTATCATATTACACTAGAGCTTGATTTCTTATTAAAGTTTCGTTAGCACTCACTTTTCATCTTTTTCAATTTTAGATTATACTCTTGTCAGAAAGATTTTGGTTTCACCAAAGTTGTGTTTTTTGTCTTTCATTGGCTAATTTTGGGTTTCACCTTTTATCAAGTTAAAAAAAGTAAAAAAACTATTAATAAAACCAGAAAATACTATAGTACTTCGTGCCTAATACAAAATGTGGAGTCTTTAAAGGTAGAAATTTTTTTCAAATTTCTAACTACTTATTTATAAATGCGAAGTATATATATACTTAAAATCTTTCTTACAACACTGATTCATTACAGCATAATATACTTGGATCTTTTAGTTAGTTATTTTGAGTATTTTGTTAGACCTGGATTTTTTAGTCATACACTATGATAATTCATGACCTAGTGATCAGAACCGAGCAATTTATAGCTGTTGAATTCTTAATATTGTGAATGAATAATGCATAGATTCAATTTTGCATACTAGGTTATCCATATTAATGTAAACAATTTTAGTGCAATAATACTATTCTTTATATATGAATACTACTAATAAATTTTTATGGTATTCTAATAGCAGTATCAAGTTTTTTAATGTGATAAATTTAGATTTATGGAGTGGCGCTGATTTTTAAAATAAAATTAATAAAATGATATTAAAGTATGTGAAAGTGATAATTTTATAAATTGTAACAAAAAAAAAATTTTTTTGCAATTTAGCTCAATACTCTAGGAGTATTTTATGATAATTCGAAGTAGTATATCGATGTATTTTCATATGAACATGAATCACGTATTTGTATTTATGATATATATAGCAGTATAACTAGTATAATAGAAGTATATTTAGAATAATCAATCAACTTCTCTTTCTTACTGAAGGTGAAAAAAGATTATGCGATCTTAATTTTTGAACAAACTAATTAATATAGTAATTTATATAATTTTTATGAGCTTATAAAGGACTAAAATATCAATTCTATTTTTTATGAGTCAGTAAAAATCGTTTGCTAATATTTTACATCTTATAAAAGTGACAAAAAGGATCTTTATTGTTCAATTATGTTAAGAGCAGAGTTGGTAATAGATATGCTTTATTGGGAAAATTGCTAATAGAGCTGAACTAGTAGTTAATTACATGAACTTCTGATACAGAGTAAATTTTAAATATATATCTATTAAAAAAAATTTGTTCATATAACAAAATTATTACTAATTCAAATCATATGATTCATTTATTTAAGATTCTGATATATATATATATATATATATATTTTTTTTTTTTTTTTTTTTTTTAGCAAATAGTTCATTTCTTCGAATTTAAGATATTAATCATGTTACTTTGCAAGAGTAAATGCAGAAGATTTATTAGTTCAGGTATTATTCTATTTCAAGACGCATTTAATTAGTATATATTTACTTGACTTTGGTTTATGATATTTAGAGTGAAATCTGAATAAATAGTCTTTTGACTTAGACTAGAAATATTGGGAGAATAAGAAAAATAGCTAATAGTATGATACTATTATTTACGATTATATCTGAGAATATTATTATTAGTTTATTTTTTTATCTCATACAAAATAGTCTATTCAAAATAAAAAGGACAAACATGAGCTATTTGTTATAAAAAGTTTGCTAATGTGAGGAATTCTAATGGAATGTTTCAAGCTAGTACCTGCTATCAAAATAAGTTTATAGTTAAAAAGATAAAATAAACAATAAAAAATTTCTTGAGATAGTTATGCTTTTAGAGCGAATATAGTTGAGCTCAGAGTTGAAAAATATAAGAAGCTAGCTGTTGTTATAAGAATAAAGTTAGGATTAAAAAAAATATTCTCTTTTTACATAACATCTGCCAAAAAACAATAATTATACATATTTATCCTGCCTCTGAAATATGATACCTGAAAATACCTATATTATTATAATTAAATTACACATAAAATATATAACAAATATAAAAATTTTTTTTTAATTTATATATACTGTATTAGGCATATACAAGTTTTTAATTTGAAATACTGTAAAATGTTAGAAGGTGTAACAAGAAAAAAACCTGAAGGAACAATAGATCATAATTATCCACATAATAACTTAGTTTTTTGGAAAAGCAATAATGGTAACTACAACTATATAATCACAAATTTAGGTATACTTCCCTTAAATCTAGATCTTAAATATATACAAAATCCAGGATTATATCCTATTCCTAACAACTATAAAGTAGAAGTTTTTTGGGAGCGTAAAGAAAAAAATCATATTCAAGCATCTATTGATTACATTAAAAGTATTACAAATTTTACAATTGAATAGATGAATAATAATCAAAAATATATAGTAGTTTCACAAACTTCATCTTCAGATATATCTAACAAATATTGTAATGTAAGGTTTATAGCTATCTTATTATTTATAATGAATTTGGTCTTGAAAAATTGCGTAATTCTACATAATTAGAGTTTTGCTAAAGTTTATAAAATAAGTTTTGAAAGTGACGATTTTAAAGATTTATTACAGTTCTGTATTTATATATTAATTTATAAATTAATAATAAATTTTTTTTTTCTTTTTTTTTTTAAGATTCAATATCTAGGAAGAAAAACTGCATTTTCCAGAATACTCATTTTTGAACTACAACTATATGAAGAGCTAATTAAAACTATACCAAAAAAGAGTTATTCACGATGTGTCAAACCTCTTAGTGATCTTAGCAATTATTTGTATAGAAATAGAACTAAAAGGGCAGCTAAAAGTTTATTCGATAATTTTGAAGCAAAAAAAAATAAAATTTGAAATCTGAAAGATAATCCTAAACTTAAAGAAATAGTATTAGAAGCAGGTAAACAACTATAGGTAGTAAAGTTTGATGAAGATCAACAATTAGAAAAAAAAAAGACACAAAAAATAGTTCAATCAATAGATCAATTCAATATTTTACGAAGAGGATATAGAGCTCTAACAGTCAATTCACAAAATTTACCAAAAGAATGGTTAATTAGTAAGGAAAAGCATAAGATTGATAAAATAATGCAAAAGCATATTCCATTATTAGAATTTGATATGACACAACTGCAAAATGATGATTCGGATGATTCGGATGAATTAGATAAATTAGATAGCGAAAAAATTACAAATACATTAAAAAAGGGTAGTTATCATAATATATCTACAATTCTCTAATTTCTTATACCAAAACTTGTTGCAAAGCAAGTTCTTAATTATGAAACCTCTATAATATACTTGCGGATCTCAGGTGATGGAAGAAATGTCAGAAGAAAAATAAAGCATGTAATAGTAACATTAGCAGTTCTAAATGATCAAGAAAATCTTATGAAACCTGAAAACCACTATACAATTTCTCTGTTTTCTGGAACAGAAAATTATACATCTCTTAAAATTGCTTTAAAACCAATTCATCATGAATTGCAACAATTATGTAACTATAGTTTTACTGATAATTATTAATGATAATAGGATATCAAAATATTTTTTTCATCAGATTGGAAATTTTTGGCGATAATTTAGGATTTAATACGGCTAATGCATTTAACTTCTGTCTCTGGTATCTTTGTACAAAGGATTTGATAAGTGATTTAAGTCAAAATTGAAAAATAACAAAATAAATAAGTCAACTTAAAGAAAATCATCAAAGTTACCCAGGTCATATTCATCCACCTGTATTAGATATAATTCCTATGACTAATTATATCATAGATCAACTTCATTTAATGCTATGATTGACTGATCGCTTGTAGGAATTGGCTTTAAATGAATGCAAGAATAATAGGTACTTTGTCAATGAAATGAGAGAATTAATATGTGAAGAAATGAGTACTATCAAGGTAAAGTTTAATTTCTGACAAGATAAAAATACAAAATTTTGAAAATTTACTTCGTTAATGAGCCCAGACAAGCTAAAAATCATAGAAAAATTTAATCTAAATATTATGTTACTACCAGCACGTGCTATTAAAGTTCAAAAACTCTGGTTAGGATTTTATGAACTTTACAAAATGTTAAGTCAAAATAGATTAACAGGAAATCAATTTTGTAATAAAGCTCTTGAATGGTTAGATATGTTCTTAACACCTTCATGAATTATTCTTGGCACTAATATAATAGATAAAGGATTGTATACGTTAAGTGACATAACACTCTATATTCATGTTTTAATATACTATATTTCTGAATTTCTTGATATTCATTCACAATAGGGACTTGGTGCATTTTCCTGTCAACTCATTAAAAAAAAAAATCATTAGCACATATCAACTTTTTTTACAAAAACGCTAAAAGATAGTGGTAAAAATCATTTTCAAAAGTCAGCTATATTAGAAATATTAGAAATAGAAAATAGAGCACTATATTTTTGGAGATTTAATGAAGTATTAACATTGCCTAAGTATAAAAAACTCAGTAGCATTAGTTCTGATAGAAATAAAGATAGTCATGAAGAATTGAATGTATTATTAAAGAAGCACATGAAGCAGAAATAATAGAATTATTGGTGTATTTATTTTTGATTATTGCGCTTTGCAAAATTATGTAACCCTATAATTATTAGTTTTATTATAAAATGATTGTTGAGTTTGTATTTGCTTAACACAGACTCAGATTTATAGAAATCTGTTAGCTTTAGCAATCACAATCATTTTATAATAAAATTAATATTTATGAAAGTTATATAATTTTGAAAGCACAATAATAAACTGTTAATATACTGCAGGTAAAATGATATTTAGATGATTGTTAATAAGCTTTGTAGGCAAAGTACGCAGAGGGAGGGAAGGAGATCATCTAG